TATGCACACGTTTCCACGCCACCTATGAGGTAGTGTACTTAGCGCGTTTTTTTCAACGTGGTTTCACCAGTAGGCCTATTCCACATGTCTGTTGTGATTCTGTCAAATTGAAAACTTGCATAATAAAATATATTAGGATGGGTTGGAAATTATAAAAGCGATTGAAATAAAAAAAATGTAAAAATGTATTCATCTGAGTCATAACCTTCAAATACTTCTTCTTTTCGTTCTACTTCATGGTCTTCGTCTTCTTCTTGATCTTCTTCTTCTTGATGTTTATCCTGGGTGTAGGTAAACTGCGTCAAGAGTGATGTATCGCATGTTTCCTCGTTGGTATCAAATGAATCTTCCACTATTAGTGATTAGCATTAGAACATGACTGGCCTTGACAATGTGTACATACCAGAGAACACAACAGTCCAACTTTTTTCCAACCGCATTTAGCACTGCATCCCTTTTTACAGTTGCAAAAATTGTGTTCAGCAGTTTTTCCGGCGCAGGTGGGAGTAGAGTCTGAATAGGTTCTAATGCATTGTCGACCAACTTCCAACCCCAGCCTTTTGGGTCTAGCTGATAACCAAGCCACATTTGTACTTGGTAATATACCCGGAAAAGATGTTGATGAGCAGCAACTGAGGTTGGAGAAAGACAAGCTATTTGCACCTGTTTCTTATTTTTAGTGTTTTTTACGAAACATGCATATCGATACGTATCTAAGCAGGTGGTTTTTCTCGGAGCTTTGTACATAGAAAGAAGAAACTAAATCCCGTTGGTGATAATTTCTTGTTGGGTTGAATTACTTTTTTTGAAAACTTCAGCACATTGAACTAAATCTTGTTTTTCAAACATTTTAAAGACTGTTGCTTTACCCCTCCTGTAAAATGAAGACGTCGTATCACAGCCAGTTATTGCATGTAAAAATAGTACATGATTTTGACTCTTTGCAAAAGTAGATAAACTTTTTGGCGAATATATTTCGGTTTGCCTTCAAGCTTTTCCTGGCTTTAGAAAGAAAATAGTTTTTTTAGATGGAGCTCAAGCAGTAAGGAGTACGAGTAAGTCTACATCTCCACCAACAACAATAGTTGTATTTGTCAAATTAAGTTGCTCTATAGCTGTTTCAATAATCAGTACGTCGGCCAATAATTGAACAGGGAGACAGATGTTGGCTCAAGGTTACACTAGCGTACAAATTAAGGGACTGGATTTCATTCTACCTGATATTCTCATATTTATACTTATGTATACCAATAGAAAAATATTTTTACCTAAATTTCACGTGGCATACATATGCATATATTATAATGACGATTACAACTTTTTGACTCGTCGTATCTCAGAAACGGTGGCTCTAAGAAAAAAAAGTATTGATGCATTTTTTGTAGAGAATTTTATGATCTACAATTTTTATCTGAAGTTATTTTATGATAAAACTTACCGTTTTCCTGAAAATCGCGAAAAACCAGTTTTTTTTCCAGATTTTTGACCTTTGAACTCGGATAAATTTTTTTCCAGGCATCACAATCATTCTGAATTTTTAAATCTTATTTATACCTATGTTTTGAACAATTACACGCATTTTCAGCTTGTTGTAAATTTATGTACCTTCACTCTTATTTTTTAGTCCAATTTGACCGGACTAACTGTAGACGGAGAGAATCGCAAGTTGAAACGCCACATTTTTTTCCCTTAAACGAGATCCTTTATGAATTATTCTGCTATTTTTATCCCCATGTGGTTTTCACAGTCATGTCCTCCTGATGACACTAATGAAGACTTTTTCTCTCAATTATACTTTGAATGTATTATGAAGTCTCATTCCCTACGTTTAGGGAAATTTCGATTCTGGGTTCCTATGTTTCACATAGTAATAATATCATAAGCCCCCTACGATCAACCGACTATCTTAAATGTGGTAATCACATTTTTATGTGATTACCACGACAGAAATTAACGCCTTATCGCGCTATATTTTTAATTTTTTTTTGGCGATTCTCGTGTCAATTCTGCATTATTTTCCACGGCATTTAATAATGCAAATCATATGGGTTTTTGCAAGAAGTGGGTTCATAAAATACTTTTTTTATACGAATAAAGTGTTTGAAATTACCGTTTGAACATATATTTTACGAAATTTTTATGCGAGTTTTCGTGACAAAAATAAACGCATTATCGCATTATATCATAGTGAAATTTATGATACATGCATCGAGAGATCATAAAATACAAATGACAGGCTGTCACTTCTTTACTTTCTCAAACGACACCCTTTATAAATTTTGTTGTTGTTTACCTACATCTAGTCTTCTTGGTTAACTCCTCCTGATGATGCTAAATTGGTTAATGAAGATGCGGTTCAGTGTCCTTCTGGCTTGTTGGATCGCACGTTAAAACGTTACGACCTCATAGTCATCATTGTCGTCATCTCATTATTTTAGTCGTACCGTATTCTCAACCCTGCATGTTGCGTGATAGTACACACTTCAAATGAGTCACACACTTACATTCCTCAGTAAAAAATTGAGTGGCGGATCGCACGTTGGAACGTTAGAGTCCTGTTAAACTATAATGTTTGTCTCAAATTATGAATTTTTGTTACACCTTGTACACATATACGCCATGTTTTTTCTTTACGTTAGCAGCCATGTTTTTTTCTATAACGTTGCATACACATTGTATATTCCACCCAATGGCTGCCATCATGTTCTTTTCTTTCACGGTAGCAGGCATGTTTTTTGAAAACTAATCATTACAGTTCATTCTATGATTTTCACTATAAAGGGTTTTACAAAAACCGCGACGTGTTTCGCTATACAATAGCTTCCTCAAGCGTAAACGTTTGAGTTTATCTTTGAGGAAGCTATAGTACAGCGAAACACGTGTCGCGGTTTTTGTAAAATCCTTTATAATGAAAATCATACAATAAACTGTCTTAATTAGTTTTAAAATGGATTTTAATCAAGTATGGGCCAGTTCTAGTCAATGTTATTTTTCTTTAACGCTGCACACCCCATATACTTCCATGGCAGCCATGTTTTTTCCTTCAACGCTGGCAGCCATGTTTTTTCCTTCAACACTGCACGCCCTATAAAGCATTTGATTGATGTGTTTCGAAACAACACCCTGTATACCTTATTATTTTTGACAAGCAGCCGCCATGATTTTTCTTTCACGTTAGCAGCAATGTTTTTTTTTCACCGCTGGCACCTATGTTTTCTTTTGACGCTGCACGCCATGTGTAGCAATTGATTGATATGTTTTGAACAACACCCTGTATACCTTATGATTTTTCGACAAGCAGCATCCATGTTGTTTTCTTCAACGTTGCACACTCTGTATAACCTCATGGCGACCATGTTTTACCCTAGCAGCCATGTATTTTCTTTAACGCTGCACACCCTGCATACCTCCATGGTAGCCATGTTTTTTTTCTTCAACGCTGCATGCCCTGTATAGCATTTGATTGTAGTGTTTTGAAACAACACCCTGTATACCTTATGAATTTTCGACAAGTAATCGCCATGTTTTTTCTTTAACGTTAGTAGCCATGTTTTTTCTTTAACGTTGCACACCCTGTATAACATCATGGCAACCATGTTTTTCTCTTTTACGTTAGCAGCCATATTTTTTTTTAATTCTGCACACACCCTGTATATCCAATTATTATTGTTCTCATATCATTCCAAGCGCGCTCGAGTCTTTCAAACAGCGATAACGCCGACTGTAACACGATGAAAAAACACTGATAACCCACTTCCTCCCCAAATTCTCCATAGCTGTTCTACTGGTGAAAAAAGTTTCGATTCTCAAATTTTCTTTGAAAGTTTAACAAACTGTCTTTTGTTTCTCCCTTCATCAAATCTTCTGATACTATTTTCATAGATGGCATCATAGCGTAAATTCTTGAAAATTGAATTTTATCAAATGATCTTAAAAAATATACAGGATTTAGATTGAAATTTTTGAATTATTCTTCAGTTGAGCCGATATCGATTTCAAATTGTTTTATTGGTAGAAAAATCGGATCCGAAGAACTATATATGCCTCCGTTCAGATTTACCCCAGAAAAAAAATGTCAACCGGTATAGATTGGAATCATGAAGCTATCTTGGGACAATTATTCGACCCTTTCGTCCTCGCCATAGGTAGCATGTCTTGATTGCAATGATTTTGAAACGTTTTATGTTTGCTTTGTCAAATAACTTCCTTAATTTTTTTTATAGCATAAGGGGTACACCTCAATGGCAAAGTTTAAAAAATCAACACTTCTTATTGAGATTTTCGACTCAGATGAAGTAAAACAAATGAGTATGTTTTAAAGAGAAATTAAATGAAATTGAATTATGGTGAAGAACATTTCAATTCTTTTTCGAATAAACAAATACCCATCACCTATTCAAATAATTCTAAACTGAATGTGGAAGCAAGAAACTCCTTCTGAAAAAATTATCATGAGGCCTGGAGGGTTCATAGTTACACCTTCTATACAAGATTCCCTCGGTCCATCGCTATCAGAGAAAACATTTTTTCGAACAGTCATATCAATAAATACTATATTTTCAAATTATTTTCTCGCATACAGGGTGATTCAGCCGAGCGTGGCCAACTAAAGTTATATTTTTTAAATAGAACACCCAGTATATGAATACGTCATTTGATTCCATTTTTTGTCTATAAGGAATTTTTGCTATCGAATTTCCATTGCGGCATTGCTAATTTATTCCAGATAAACCTATTTTGCAGACAATATTTTTTCAATTCGCTACCCGCATATCTATAGCAATTAAATGGATTTTTTAGGAATAGTTAGTCAACATCATTATGATGATTACTGGAATCTCAACTTTCGGAAACAATATATAGGGTGCTCGCTAAAACCGGTCAAGTTTCATTCATTTTCAAACAGACATAATTCAATTTTTTCAAATAGAACACCCTGTATTTTTTCATTTATATGAAATATTTCAATATTTTATAAAATTTCAATAACAGGTATACTATATTCATTCACATCTAATTTAGACTTTGGGTCAAGTTCTATAACTTTTATATAAATATATCAATATTACAATTCGAATATTTTGAAAGGAATACATAGTAGTGTATAGTACATATAGTGTATAATTCATATCAACGAATTGAATTTTTCCTTTATCAACAGTCTTCTCTAAAATCACCAGTCATAGTCAGAATTAGTATTGGGGACGCCGCCTGGATAGATACCAGAGAGGCAAGCTGTACAATGCCCTACATTGCTGTGAGCATTTTTCGTTTTTATGTCGGATCTAACTGCTTTTATTAGCCCTTCCAAGCTCAAATATTCCAAACTGTCCGCTCCTGAAATAATTAATATGAAAAAGATGTGATATTATACAGGGTGACAACGAAATCATTGTTTACGGCGCCATTTGGGTGTTTCTGGCGTAACAAATTTAAAATTCGGAACGTATGTATAGTTCTTTAGAGCCGATATTTCTGATAAAAAATCAACCTATTTTGGCTCAACTGGAAATAAACTCAATTTTGAATAGAAACCTGTACATTTTTTGCTTTATCGCTCACAACTACCGAATTAACAGGTAAATTTGGGATTAACTTTTCTTGTAACCATTTACCATAATATTCAGAATTCATTTCTGAATGATAATCTCCTGATGTTATGCTTGATTTAAATATAAGCTGACAATTAGGTATAAAGCCCATGCCACCTCCTGCATGGCTAATAATGAGTCTTGGTCCCTTCACAATATTTTTAAATAACCCTTCGGCTGATTCATCCGTCCAGCTCTTAGAAGATGTAGGTCCATTTGAAGGTATATTTCATCAAGAAACACAATTGGTCGCTGTTGGCTACGAAAATAATTTATTTTTTGTAAATACTTGATTCTCAATGCTCTAATGACCATTTTCTGTATTGGAATTCTTCTATTATTTTCAGTACTTCTCCATTTGAAACCTATTTTCTTTTAAATTCTACGAAGAGATGTTTCGGAAGCCACAATTTCCAAAATGTTATTGATGCTTTGCTTGGAGGTCACAAGTTTAGGGTTCCAGTGCTTCCTTCCAATGACTAAAAAGGATGTAAGTACAAATTCCAAACTTAATAGGAATAAAAATCGTTGCTCGGAAAAAAACTTGTTTGGACTTGTTTTAGTGGTTTCGATAAGGGACTATTTGTCTGCTGATGCACCGAATTGGTATTTGAGATAATCCCTTCAAATAAAAAAAAATCGAACTGAAAGTTGCTACTAGGTTCTCTTAGCAACAGTTATTATATCCACTTAGAAGGGCCTTGATGAGTGTCAGAAATAACCTCTATAGGATGATGCCTTCGAATGAGTCCCCATTTCTTGGGGAGTTATTTTACCTCTAGTGAATTTGGACACAGAGGGCGCCATTAGGCTTCAGCTCATTATGTATGCAAAACCCTTAAGGAATGCTATGCATTCATTCTCTTAATTCCTATCGCAGGACAGTAGCTGGTTGGGTTGGCATAGTGGTCTGTTCCACTCATTCAATCGACTGTCACGTGAAACGGTGGTTCGGACGAAAGAGTACTCAACTACCAAGAGGCGAAAAAGAGCGTTTTTCGAGATATAAATTTTCAGTGCGCATGCGCGAAACAATTAGTATTTCTGTTAATATCAATCTATACTTCCTGTCTTAAGAATGTATCGCAGGGTTTCCAATTCTTGATTGATTTCTGGTATTTACCGTGAATTGATTATACGTCAGATATTATCTGAGCCAAAATTCTTGAAATGGAAATTGTAGGTATGTGTAACAGGTTCATGCCAAAATAATGTAGTCAACGTAATCCCAGAAATTGCAGAGAATGCTGTACCTACTAAAATTATGTATACAGTCAACTTCTAATTTCCCAAATAATTTCTTATTTCATTAGTGCCGTCTTGCCATTGGATTTCTATCTGTTGGATGGCCTTGTTACAAATAAATGAATAAACAAATCATATAAGGAATATGTTGTTTTTTTTTCAATCATTTAACGAATTTACAATTTGATTTTTTTTTTCTACGCCCGTACTATAATAATACACTTATATTCCTATATAATTAATTTCGTTTTCCGGTTCGAAATAGCAATTAAATAGCCTAATCGGATATACGCCGTAGACCGCTAAACCACCGGCCGACCTTTAATGAAGTTCAGCTTCATTCTTTAGTGTTGGTCGACAATCACCTTATAATTATATTATAAATAATAAGCTACTTTATCAATCATAACTAATGAAATGGTGAAACATCATTTAAGTATTTTTCAGCCTATCATCAATGAGGCTAGACTACTTGGCAATGAATACACTAGACGAATGGCTACAGTATTTCTAATCAGACAAAAAGATATTGAATTTCATCAAACTTCATATAATACTCAAGTTCCTCTGATATATGTACTTGCTTGAAAAACTAAAATCAAAAAATGTTTTTAGGCCAATTCAATTTTATTTGTTGTTTGATATTTTGTTTACCAATTAATTGTAGCCATTTCAACCAAATTCATAGCATTTCTGATGTGGTTTCCGGAAAAACTGATCAAAACAAAAATAATTTTTTCCAACAAAAATTTAATGAGAAAAGTTGATTTACCCGAGCATTACAAAAAATAGTACGTGAATCTATGAACATTTTCAGTTTTTGAATTTTTATTTGAAAACTGAGCAAACATCGTCTTTTGTTCCTCCCTACATCAAGTTGTTCAATAATATTTCTATAGATGACGATAGTGTTTCATCGTTGAAAATAATTATATATTCTATCAAATGGTATGAAAAAATATACAGGGGTCTCTTTGAAATTCTTCACTTGGGTTAATTTTTGGTTTAACCTAAATAGGCTTTCAATTGTTTTTCAGTTAGAAATATCGGCTATGTATACCTTCTATCCAAATTAAAAATTTCTTTCAATGGTTTCGTTGTCACCAGACATAGGTAAATACATTAAGATCATGGTTTGAATGAAGTAACGAAAATGTGTTTATTCGTTCAATCATTCGTTCTGGAGTGAATGTATACATATATGAATACATATAATGTATACATATATGTATACATATAAAAGAATTTGAACCAGTCATGATAAATACTCATTTCGCAAATAATGTCACGGAATGCATAAAAAAAGTATATTCAAGAATATAGATGAATTGAAAATTTTGCTCAAAGTCATTATAGAACTTTGAAGTAATTGTACTAACAGATACTAGGATCGTATCTAGTTTCACCTTATTAGAAATACCCACATATAAAATTATATGTAATCAGAGCAATGTAATTCAAAAAAACCGAGTAGGAGTTTATAGAAAAAGGCACTTACATTCTAAACTGGATACCATGAAACTCTCAAACACTTTCAATTACTATTTCTATTGTTTTGAACAACCCGATATTTCTGATGGTGTAGCAGTAATTTGGATAGCGTTTGATTGAATAACTAGACCATTGTTTTGGTTAATATCTCCTTCATTATGAAGAAAATGGTACCCATTTAATTCATGTAATGATGTCACCGATTATCCATGTTTTAGTCAAATTTTTCTTCGAAGACATTCAACATAACTTTCACATTTTGATGATGGATGATGATGGATCTAATATTATTGTAATAAATTGTGATATTTTTAATGTTCGCTCTTTTCTCCAGTGTTGTTTGTACATGATCAAATGATCATGATTTTTTGTTTATCCCTATCATCTGGGCTTGACTCGCGTGTGATTCTAATTCTACTCCTCTTTAGATTTTTCTCTTCCCCGACTATTTATTGTTTTTTTTTTCAAACTCCTTGAGAGTTCCAGAAGAATTGGCCTTTCATTATTATTTTACTTGTTTCTTATTGTTGCAGAGGTTAGTTACAACATCCACAATAGTGTCATTGCTTTTCGAGTTTGAAAGCCGTGGATTTTTGGAATTTCTTCCTGAAGTTTCGCTGGCGCGAGTGGCGAGCTTCTTCAGAGGTTTAACCATTATGGCTTGCTGTCCGATGACTACCTTTTAGGCTTCGTAAAGCGTATTTATGTAATCAGTTGTACCTGTGCCTGTATTTGTACCTGCATTTGTACCTGTATTCGTACCTGCACTTGAACCTGGAACATTAACAATCTTGCTGCCTGTTGTCCTGTTCGTTATTCTCGAATTCCTTAAAATGGGGTTCCATATTTGATTGAGGTTCACCGATTCTTCTTTTCTGTTAAAATTATCCGTGTATTTGTGGATCTCTATTGCCTCTCGTACCAGTCGGCTATGGTATCCCTGGTTGGGGGCAATTAGTTCTGTGTTTTCAAACAAAATTCTGTAGTCTCCTTCACACAGTGCGTGTTCTGCCACAGCTGACTAGTCTGTTTGGCCTAGTCTGCAGTTTCTTTTATGCTCTTTTAGTCTTGTTCCCATGGATCATTTGGTGGATCCGATATATACCTTCCCACAAGTGTACGAAATGCAATAGACCCCTGCTGCTGATAATGGGTCTCTTTTGTCTATGACAACAGGCAGCAAGATTGTTAATGTTCCAGGTTCAAGTGCAGGTACGAATACAGGTACAAATGCAGGTACAAATACAGATACAAATACAACTGATTACCTGACAAGGCATAAATACGCTTTACGAAGCCTAAAAGGTAGTCATCGGACAGCAAGCCATGATGGTTAAACCTTTGAAGAAGCTAGCCACTCGCGCCAGCGAAACGTCAGGAAGAAATTCCAAAAATCCACGGCTCTCAAACTCGGAAAGCAATGACACTGAAAACCTCAGCCGTGAAAGTCTAAATCATTTTGTCAACATCCACAATAATTTCTTCCTATTCTTCTAAGATACCGAATATCAGATTAACTGGTTTCAATTTGGAGTATTTCCGTTTTTAATTGTTCATTTCGATAAATCACATTTTTCAGTAAATCATATATATCCGTATTGCATGGTTCCCCTATATCGAATTGACTCAGCGATTTGGGAACTCTACGCTGTAAACTCACAGACTTTGGTGGAGATCTAAAATATTTCTTTACAATAAACTGATTCTACCACTCAAAATTACTATACGTGATTTTTCTATATACCTGATAGCTTTATTTGAATGGACTATACGGGTTCTTTGTCGGTTTATTTTGTTTATACAGAAATAAATCTATTAAAAAAAGTGTACGTTTTTCATTCGATATTATTTGTTATATGTATATTATATTAATGTCTATAAACCTTGTGTTTCTCAAGACGAATAAAGATATTTTTATTATTATTATTTTGGTAGATTGTGGCACGAATTTATTGAAGTGCTTATCACGAAAAGCATATCATGTTTTTTTTTTCACCCGAAACGTAGATCCCCAGTTTTCCACACAGCTGATTTAGAAAAAAAAATCAATGGTATTTTTTAGGCGATAAGTTTCTTGAACAGAGCACAGTAAAATACATGTGACCGGCACAATTTTTCTACTGATTAACTATCCATACCCTGTATGATTGTCAATTTTTATAGTTAAATATATCCACTCTTTCTTTATGCATCCAAAATTTAGTATATGAAAATATTTTCAAGATACTCAATATTTTGGAAAAGAATATCATACACAGATACCCACACACAAAAACAATAAAATGCTTTGAGTTACATTTCTGTTCCAATATACATCAACTCACCAACTTTAATAGCCAACTCTCGTGGAGTTAGTTTATTGGCAATTAGTTCTTCTCTTGTTGGAATATTGATTCCCATGTAACAAGGGTACCGAAGAGGTGGACTGGCTACTCTTATGTGGACTTCTCTGGCTCCTGCATTTTTGAGTAACTTTATGATAGGTCCGATGGTATTTCCACGAACAATAGAATCATCAATCAATATGACTTTTTTTCCTTTTACGTTACCTGCTAAGGCACCTGCAATAAATATAAATAAATATAACATTTTTTATGTTTCTAGACATATTATAGATATTACCAAATTTTTTTGCAACACTTAATTGTCTTAAACGGTTACTCGGTTGTATGAAAGATCTGCCAACATATCTGTTTTTGCAAAGAACTTCGGCAAATCTGATGCCACTCTGAAAAATGAAAGTGAACCAATTTAAACCATTTTCTTCAGCCATATGAATTAAAACAAACTCGTACATTTTAATCTTGAATTGATTTTACTCAAAATACCCAAAGCTGATGAAGTCCCTTACTCCGTAGGTATATTTAGTTACTTCAATTTTCAAAACACATTGGAAGTCCAACAAAAATTTAATGAGAAAAGTTGATTTACCCGTACAAATAATAATAAATTCGAAAGATTTAAAGTGACTTTCAGGTTTTGAAAACAGAAAAAAAAGGTTTTCCAAAACGTCGATCACTAAAGATAGCTAAGTATGAATTTTTATTTTTTTATTGATTTTTTCAATCTGTAGGAAATCTGTAGGCCCTTTAGTACTCATTGCCCTTTATTACAGCAGATTTCTTATTGATTTAACTTTGTGAAAGGTTACATAACAAAAAAAACAGTAACAAGTGTTAATTATATTTTAGACCATCCATCATTTATGTTCTATTGATTTCATTATAATGGAAAAATTGTGAGTAGGTTAGGTTAGGTTTACATATTTTTTTATTAAAATCAAGCAAGTCAATTCAATTTCTAATCTCTATATCATGTTGCACATCGTACCGTAAAAGAAAATTCTTTGACTGTGGATACAACACCGATAAAAAGCTATTGTTCAGTTTGATTTATAATAACAAGGATTCTGACATAAACGGATATACAAACCTTGAAATTTGAATAATGTACTTAATCTCTGGAATTCCCCTTACAAATAATATTTTGCAGTAAATAACTGATAAATCAATTGTCCAACAAATATTTTCCAGAATCTTAACCATCTCTTGCATGTTAATAACCCCTATTTACTCTAATGAGTTTATGATAAGTACATAATATCGATGGCTTTCACATTCCCAGAGAATATAACCTTCATTTAGAAGAGAACAATGAGACAAAAAGTTTTTTATTACTTTGGAAATTCTCTCAGCTGAATAAACATTGAGGTCCAAGGCCAGGCATAGGTACATTTCTGAATTATATTGAAACTAGCGATTCTCCCCGGCTTCGCACGTGTACCATACATTGATTCAAATAAAATACAACAGAATTTTTTTGTTCAAGAAAATTTGAATGGAGGATTGTTATTAAAAAAACAGGGTTGCCTCTCATTTTTTATTTCCTCAAGGGTTCAATAGAAAAATAACGTTGAAATAGAAAAATAACCTTTTCTCCAATAACTAAACTCGCTAACTCAATCACCAAATATCAGCAAAGTACCTATATCTAGTTAATGCAGATGATTTGTTTTCAATCCATATTTGTCGATAAATTATTTAATATTGAATAAAAAAACTTTTTCAAAAGTCTCAGTTCTATTCCAGAATTCCACGAGAAATGATAAATACTTTTGAAAAATAGAAATAAACGAAAAATATCAGTATATCACATATACAAGAGAGGGGCATATCCAGATTTGTAGAAGATATGATAGGTTTTGAGAGGAGAAAGGATTCTTGAATATTAAAATATATTTTCAATTTCGTTCAACCTAACAATAATTGTCAAAAAATCTAGTCGAATAAATTTCAGTCAAACGTTTTTGGAATAAGTAATCTGAGTTTTTGAACTTTTGCAGATAGTTCAACAAATATTTCATATTTTTCGATAATTCGACATTTCTTAGCTAACTGACAGTTCTGTTTTTAACTTTTTTTATAAGGATTCATAAATTATATTATGTAAGTACATATTTGTAAATATGTATAGAATAGTGTATGAAATAAATAAATAATAACTCAACATTTTTTAGGTTTTTTCACCTCCCACAATCTGAAAAATCTAAAAATTTCAAGGTTCTGTATTCCTTTATGCCACAATCTGCTATATTATTATTATTATTATCCTGTCACTTATATGAAGTAGAATTTAATAATTGGCGGATTTCTTTTTTATAAATTGAACTAAACTCTAGCTAGTCTTTGTTGAGTACGTGTCGATTATATTCTCTGAAAGACATTTTTTTGTGGATGATTGAAGACTTAATACTTCTTACTGTTTTTTGGGTGATCACGCTTTAGAATGGAGTGAAACAAAAATTATCACCAAAAAAACTGACGAAAAAATTAGAAAACTCAAACAATTCGCATACATTCTTTTAGCAGGTAACAAGTGTATTTCAAACAGCTCTGTATAAATGGATCGTACTTGGTTGCCATTACTAAGAAGTTAGATTGAAAACAGAAAAATGAACCTCAACGGAATTCTCAGAAAATATTCAGTAGACATCATGTAGACATTATGTATGCCAGAAGAATTTAATTTTCTGACAATTTGAGACGAAAGATTTAAAGTGACTTTCAGGTTTTGAAAACAGAAAAAAAAGGTTTTCCAAAACGTCGATCACTAAAGATAGCTAAGTATGAATTTTTATTTTTTTATTGATTTTTTCAATCTGTAGGAAATCTGTAGGCCCTTTAGTACTCATTGCCCTTTATTACAGCAGATTTCTTATTGATTTAACTTTGTGAAAGGTTACATAACAAAAAAAACAGTAACAAGTGTTAATTATATTTTAGACCATCCATCATTTATGTTCTATTGATTTCATTATAATGGAAAAATTGTGAGTAGGTTAGGTTAGGTTTACATATTTTTTTATTAAAATCAAGCAAGTCAATTCAATTTCTAATCTCTATATCATGTTGCACATCGTACCGTAAAAGAAAATTCTTTGACTGTGGATACAACACCGATAAAAAGCTATTGTTCAGTTTGATTTATAATAACAAGGATTCTGACATAAACGGATATACAAACCTTGAAATTTGAATAATGTACTTAATCTCTGGAATTCCCCTTACAAATAATATTTTGCAGTAAATAACTGATAAATCAATTGTCCAACAAATATTTTCCAGAATCTTAACCATCTCTTGCATGTTAATAACCCCTATTTACTCTAATGAGTTTATGATAAGTACATAATATCGATGGCTTTCACATTCCCAGAGAATATAACCTTCATTTAGAAGAGAACAATGAGACAAAAAGTTTTTTATTACTTTGGAAATTCTCTCAGCTGAATAAACATTGAGGTCCAAGGCCAGGCATAGGTACATTTCTGAATTATATTGAAACTAGCGATTCTCCCCGGCTTCGCACGTGTACCATCGTCATTTCTAACCAATTCACACAGAAGGTAATGAATTATACACAAACCCTAAGAAATTATGTTCGGTAGTTTTTCAGTTTATGGAGATCATCAAACTTATTTATGTTGTTATACTGTTTTCAGCGTGGCTAAGTTTTTGAGTTCATTCATGGTGTGTAGGTTTTCAGGGCCGGTGTCTAATAACTTGTTGGATTTTTCTGGTTTTATTAGCCGTGATCTACAGATTTTTATTCCTGACGTTTCATCAGCTACTGCGGCATACATTATCAAAAGGATGCGGCAACGGTCAAAGTGATGTAATTTGCTTCGATGCGCAAACTGAAAACGATCTTGCTGCCGATGTGCTCATAATGGGACTAGGTGTCGACCAGCCGACTGCTTTTGTACCTAAATGGTCCAGCCTTCTTCAATTATTGGGAGAATCTTCGTGTTATGAAGTGCTGGTATCCATGTCTTGTTGATGTTTACTCTTCCTTACAATTGAAATTATTTTTAAGTTTATGTATTTCTATGGCCTCTCTGAATAGACTCGGATAGTACCATCTGGTTTTAATCAAGAATATGCCTGCGTTCAAAGAGAATGTCATGGCTGCCTTCTGAAAGAGCGTGTTATGCAACTGCCGATTATCAGTTTGGTCATAGCGGCCACTTCTTTTATGCTCAGTTAAGCGTGGTTTAATAATGCTTCTTTTTGTGTTTCCAATTTAGAACGTACCACAAATACACGATATTCGGTATACTCCTGGGATACTCAATGGATCCCTTGGGTGTTTTGCTGACCTGAAACTATTCTCTAATGTTGTTGATGTGGGCTTTAAAATGGCCCTAACTCCATGTTTGTCAGGGACCCTTCCAATTCGGTCCATCACACTGCTTATGTGGGATAAAAAATGTATTCCATTGGCCGTTCGCTCCAGTTCTACCGTGTATGGATCGTCAGGGTCAGTTGATTTCAGTCTCGTTATATCTGTTACCCAGAGTAGCATATTTCAGAAGACAGACTTCCTCTTGTAGCCCTGTCGGTTCGAGCTGGACCTTCATGGTGGGAGTAAACCCAGAAAACTTTCAAGCAATCTATGATCCTCACCTTTGGCCTAGGAATATAGCTTTTGAAAGGTTTGACTTTCGGAAAGGTAAGAGGTTCTTGGAAGATGAGGCCAATAAAAAGGGGGTAGCTACTTCTTCTCAACCTCAAAATTTTTTGATATAGACTTTAATAAAGAACATCTTCAGAATAATGACCTAAAGATTTTCTATCTCAATATTCAGTGTATTAGCAATAAAGTAGAACAGTTTCAGCTATATTTCGAAAACAAAGATTATGACATTATATATGTCTTCCATGTTTGTCAGGGACCCTTCCAATTCGGTCCATCACACTGCTTATGTGGGATAAAAAATGTATTCCATTGGCCGTTCGCTCCAGTTCTACCGTCTATGGATCGTCAGGCTCAGTTGATTTCAGTCTCGTTATATCTGTTACCCAGAATAGCATATTTCAGAAGACAGACTTCCTCTTGTAGCCCTGTCGGTTCGAGCTGGACTTTGCTGATGCCCGCGTCAATAATCAGTCCTTCATGGTGGGAGTAAACCCAGAAAACCTTCAAGCAATCTATGATCCTCACCTTTGGCCTAGGAATATAGCTTTTGAAAGGTTTGACTTTCGGAAAGGTAAGAGGTTCTTGGAAGATGAGACCAATAAAAAGGGGGTAGCTACTTCTTCTCAACCTCAAAATTTTTTGATATAGACTTTAATAAAGAACATCTTCAGAATAATGACCTGAAGATTTTCTATCTCAATATTCAGTGTATTAGCAATAAAGTAGAACAGTTTCAGCTATATTTCGAAAACAAAGATTATGACATTATATGTCTGTCACAGCATTGGCTCAACGTAGAAAATCTGATATCTGTGATCAATGATTATAACCTTATAAGTTACTTTTGTAGACAAACCCTTCAACATGGAGGAGTCTCTATTTATATTCATAATAACATCACATGTAAACCTCTCCTTTTGAATGATTTCTGTATTGAACAACAGGCAAAATTTTGTGGAATTGAATAAACAAACATGAACACTGCTCTCATAACAATTTATAGATCCTCACTGTCGAAAGAATATGACTTATTCTTCAATAAAATTGAAGAACTTTTAACTTTGTTAATAGCCAATTATCCTAACAGGTGATTTCAACATTAACATAAATAAAAAAAAAGTCCTGTCTGTACATCTTGGATAAACACCATTGAATCTTTTGGTCTGAAACCCAAAATAACTATTCCTACAAGAACGAACTACAAAAGCTCTATCTGTAGAGATAACATTATTACCAACTTAAACGATAGTGAGTGTATTACGGGAATATCAGATCCTGGCATTTCTGATCATGGTGGACAATAATTCATTTCTATCACCAAATATACTCCCGAAGCTGATAAGTATAAATGGCACAGATAAATCAATCACAAAGGCTTGGAAGCCATGAAACGGTCCCTAGAGAATGTTGATTGACAAATTTCCCACAATATTGAATCCTCGTTGAACTCACTAACAGAATTTCTGAACAACTCATATAGTTCCCTTATTAGTAAACAATGAAAAAAATAAAAGTCAAAATTCGGCGAAAGGGACCTGTTATTTTTTTTAATGATGAATTACGTTCAATGAGAGATACTTTACAAGCACTGCGCACTGTAAGTACCTCTTCAAAACATTTCAGTCATACGGAAAAATTCAAACATGAATATGAAATTGCAGTTTGTTTACAAGGCAAAAAAAATCGTATGATAAATTTATACAAAATTCAACCAACAAACATAAAGATACTTGGAACTTATTGAACTACGAACGAAACTTTACTGGTGAGCTCAAAACAATTTCCAACAACATCAGTGTCAATGAATTTAACAGATTTTTCTATAATATTGTCGAGAATATCATTAAATCTCTACCTACCTGCAACATCTCCGATCTCGATTATATTTCTAGCCTCCCAAAACCACTTAATTCATTTTTTCTACTAGCAGTTAATCATGAATAAGTAACACTTGCGATTCGAAAATTCAAGAACACCTCTAGCTTTGACATATTTCACTTGAATAGTCAAATCATCGAAGAAACCATTGACGTTCTTGTTGAACCATTGACATTTTTGATGAATCGCTCTTCACGGAAGGTATCTTTCCCGATGTGTTTAAAATAAGTAAAGTAGTGCCTATCTTTAAAAAAGATGATCCCAATATATCAGACAACTATAGACCTATCTCGATTATATCCATTTTAGGATATTTTTCAAAACTGTTACCAGCGCATACATTTTCTGGTGAAGAATAATCTACCCCAAGATTTCCTTAATCTAGTGAGGACCTGATCGGCTGTCAGTCTGCGACTACTTTTGTCAGTTAGACAAGCAACACAAATGTGGCTTGAGAAATAGATCGCCTGGAACGCATTTCAGGAAAAAGGCCGTCTATGGCTGCATGGTATTAACTGCATCTACCAGCTAGGAGACGCCCTCCTGATTCTCTCAGGTGAACTGTAGACTTTCAGGCCGTAATTTACAGCACTGGAATCGTACCTGTGAACTATTTTCTGGAATATCCAGCCATAATGTCATACTGGAGAGATTCCAGTTCATTGCTCGATATTGAAGTTGTCGACTTTTCAAGGTGCAAGATTTTCCCCTTAATAATCGCAGAAATGTTCTCATATGACGGAATCTGTACGTTAAGTATACCTGATGATACATCAGATTCAGCTAAGCATGGCGTTTTTGGCTTTGCTTTGGGTTAGGTCCAAAGTGAGTGGGTCTATTTGACCCTCCACCGCAACCCGCAAGGGTTTATTGTGTCTCTGCTTTGGGTGAATCATAGTTTGAGTGTAAACATTTGAAGATCTACTCGAAGAAAGGTTTTTTTTCTCTCCTGATGCAGATTTTGCTTCTACTGCTCAAGAATTAGGTGCAAAGCAAATTCATAAAATATCTTGCTCTTGAGAAGACGATGCGTCACTTCATGGCTACACTACCTAGCCCCATAGGTAGGTTTGTTCAAGAAATGAATAACAGAGAAGCCCCTGCCTTTGATTCGATGTTACAGAAAGGACGACAGTTGAGGTTGTTTATTCGACCTCCGTCTCCTGTGTAAAATCAGGGTCAGATTCTTTGGGAACTGCTTGATCCATAAAAGATGCCACGAATAGCTAGGGAAAGAAGGTCCATCATGGCATTGCTCTTCATTAAAGTTGCAAAATTTCATACGACGAGGGGGTGTCCGGTATCTCGAAGGTTCTGTTAGTGACTCTGAGTGGACTCAGAATCATATATCCTTTCGACACGGATACACACATCCTAGGATGGGGCGTCATTTAGGAGAACTCTTTTTTCCACGGGTGAACACTCACCAGGCAGGAGTATTCTAACGTCTCCCTCCGCCGTAAGTTGACTTTTGAAAAATTCTCAGACCCATTTCCATTTGAATAAATAACCCAAAATATGTTGATGTAATAACCATCTTTTTGATTTAATATTTTCACTGATATTTTTTTTGGGTGTTATCGGCATCGACTGCATTGTTTATTAACCTCGTGTCCTGGATTAGGCAATGTTAATAACTCCACGAACCACCTAGGAAGCATCATGGCTATTGGCAGTCCGTCAGCCATGTAACGTTGCAGAATCATCCCAGCTTCAACTAGATAAATTCTCCCAAGAAAAATATCTGGTCGAGGTTGGGATCGAACTCCCAACCTTCCAGTCGTGAGTCGAGTGCACTACCACTGTTCCATTTACCGCATTTCCACTGATATTATCCTAAATCTTACCACCTCCAGAATTTTAGCAAAAACTTGTATGTCCCACCCCTATTTCGGATTTCGTGATGCCGGCACTATAGGCTACCATCACCTTTTGCGGGAGTCAGTAATACAAAATGATAATTGTTTACAAAAAATGGACTGTGCAATAGATCCATCTTTTTTATTTGAAGCGCATATGAAGTGGTTTATTCCCAAAACCAATATTACAAAATTCGATATATTTTGTTTATTATCTTTCATTATGGTGAATTTATGAATAACATTTTACATGGTTCAAATATTATTTGTTTCCAACACCGATTCATATTTTTCCATATTTCAAAGTGGTTATTTTTTACTAATTGACTTTCGTGAACAGTTCCATCCTGAATTGTTCACTGAATACCGTGGGAGAATAGGAAGGGACATAAAAGTACATGTTTTTGTTTTAGTTTTTGGAGGTAGTGCGACAAGGAAAAACCTCTACGAAAGTAAAAGGTTGGGTTTTCAACTAATCTAAGGTAGTCAAAACGTTTTTTGAGGACCGGCTATGATACACAAAGAAACAATATTGTTTTCATTCTACCGATTATTAGAGCCCTAATAAGACTATAATAGCAATAATTCATCTGATGATCTGAAGAAAGTCGTGAAAAATTGTTACAAAAACAGTAGGTCCGTATTTGAAATTTCAAAGTCGGACAACACTCTGTATAAAAGTTCTATGATCATAATAGTACATTGAAAGTTTTCGTGACAAAGTTCAAACTGGTTTCTGTATTTACGTGAATAAAAATAGATACGATAGATATACTCTAATATTGAAATTATAATTTTCTGGTTCCGTATATCTCCGAAACCAAAAATTTAGAGTCGATTTATTGGTATCATCTACAATACTCTTGATTAGAAACTTTGCCGCAATTCAACTGACTCTCTATCTTTTACCATTTAAGAGATACTTATGCAAAAGCTAGAATTTAAATAACGCTGAGTCTATCTGAAGTCTGAAATGAAGTGGATTTCAGAGAATGTTTTGTACATATAAGATGCATATCAAAATTTCTAACTGAAAATTTTGGATACCTGTCTTGAAAATCCATGGGCAGCAGCATTGCCAGACTCCGGAACAGCACTGACGATATCAGCTTCCACTGGATGTTCAATAGCTAATTGCCTGCCACACTGCATTCTCACAGCATACACCATTTGACCCTCAAATATGCTGTCAGATCTAGCAAAGTAAACATATTCAAAAATACAAAAAGCTTGCAACTTATCTTCAGGTCTTTGTATAATGTCAATTGTGCGAATACCATATCTAGTCATTTCTATAATTTCTCCAGGAAATACTTCTCGGACATACTGGGCCCCTATGGACAAAAACCCACATGACTCAGAAGAAACCACCCACCCCTCAGCTTCTCTGCTCTCGTCACATTCTCCATCCAGAGCTGTAGAGAGATAGTTCAAGTTAGGTTTAGAAAACTAGTGTTAAATTCGCCTTACGTTCGTTAAAAGGTAATATCTTTCCTAAACATAAAGGTCTGTTACCATAAGGATCCCTAACTGCATATATCCGATTTTTCAACATAATGACTAGTGAATAACTGAGAGGGGCCAAATCCATGAAATGCTTTATCCTAGCTGGCCAGTCTGGTTCTCCATTTGGTTCGCCCTCTGGAGGATTCAAACATAAAGCTTGAGTTATTAACTCGCTGTCAGAATGAGTAGAGAGTCCAACACCGTGTTCTAATACCTGAAAACATAATTATCATTTTACTATCGAGATTCGATTCCAATAATAACTCTTGATGGAAATAATTTGAGGAACCATTAGCTCAACTCTTAAAATTTTAAATATTGAAATATAATTACTGGAAACTATTTCAATGAATTGAATTAAGTTATATCAGTCCTCATAATAACTAATTGAGAAAAACGAATATAATTATCATATACAGTTTCTTTAAATGAATATCTCAAAACTACCAACACCAAACTTTACATGCTCAACGTGAAACTTTCATATTGAATGAATAAGTAACCAATAATACCGCACACTATAGCACTACAGATCTGCTAAATGTTATAAAAGCTCTTTTTCCCATTTCAATGATCTTTGACCGGGAGCGATACCCCCTCTGGTGTCAAAATTGTGAACTAGAGACAAGTACATTGGTAATTTTGGTAGTCATTAATGAGTATGTATTTCTGTTTCCACTATTTCAATCATTTTATATGATTGAAAAGTATTGAACAAAGGTCCGTCGGTAGCCGGTCAGTTCGACGTAGGTGCTTTGTTCACTCACTCAAATCGACCGCCGTGTTAGTCGGTGGTTCAAACCTCAGTCTGAACGATCGATTTTCACATGCTATCGTCCAACCCGTGTTAGGAATAACACGTTAAAAGGTAAGATCTCGTTAGTCCTTAGCTCGTACAAGTTTCGACTTCTGAGGGTTGTCGTTCTTAGGGGTGCGACTGCTGGCTAACGAAAAAACAGATTTTAAGTAGATTCAAACAGAAAAGTATAAAGATATTGATAACTACAAATCAACGCAAAACATCAGAAATCGAGTTTCAGAAATTATAACTATTTTTTAAAAATCAGGAGAACTTGTATCATTCCTGCAAAAAAGTAAAAGTACGTTGAGTTAGGAATAAACTGTAATAAATATTCATTAGGAAATGCTGGCATTCCATCAACTACCAAGGTATATGAAGATATAGGGACATTGTCCTCTCAAATGCAAATAAACTTTAAAAGGTATTCCGAAACTTAATGGTCTTACTCAATCCAAAACTGAATGTCATTCTTGATTTGTGATGAACTAAGTGGGCGAATTACATAAAAAATATGGCTATGAAAACACTTTTCTTCAAGTTCCCCACACAAATAAAAATATTTCTTCATAGGTGAAAAAAGAACCACTGACGTAAAATGATACAAATACAAATTTTTCTTATTCTTACAAATTTATATTCGACTTGCAATATTTGTATGTAGGTATGTATATTACTTCGGATCAAATTTTACAACTCAATTTTGTAGTAGGTAATTATCCTCAATGCTGAATTTTTTGCACACATGTTAATGATCTACATCCAATATGGCACACTTTTTTTCTTATAATATGAAAATTAAATGAGAGAGTTTGCTAAAAATAATACGAATAATAATATGACATTATCAGTTTAAATCCAATTAATATTTCGGAACGTCTAAAATGACGGACTATTTTTTATGTACCCCTATAATATGGGTATCAAATGAGAGGGTTTGCTGGAAATGATACAAAATACAATGACCCTCCGTCCAATATGTCGGACTTCAAAAAATGGTGAACTAGGTTTTTTTATACACTCCGATGAATATGAAATGAAAGGATTAAAGGGGAAACAAATTCAGAATATCGGAATACAAGATAGCCACCATATCAAGTTTAAAGAGTCACTACTTTTCGAGTTTGAAGGCCGTAGATTTTCTGGAATTTATTCCTGGCGTTTCGCTGGCGCAAGTGGCTAGCATCTTCAAATACATCATGAGTTTTTCTCTTTGATGACTGGATATTATGGATGCATGACGAGTATTTACGCTGACGTAGGAAGTTTGGTGTGCTACTACCTGTACCTGATTTATATAAATTGCATTAAGCGTGTTTATGTTGACTCAAATCAAATTGGGGATTGATAAAGGTATATAATGGCCATCTGCCCTAGTATTACGTGCAGTGTCAGATTTTAATAAATGTAGTTTATGCTTATGAACTAAACTAGTTGATTCTAGCACGAAAATTGATGTTAACGTGAGTATCCTCTGAGATATAAACAAGGGTTTACATGAAGTTTGGTGATTAACATGGCATATGTATCTCAGTGCTCTCTTTTGTAGCTTAAAGATCATTGAGAACAACGCTTGTGAGCAGGCTCCCCAAAATGCTATCCCATATCTGATGTGAGATTTCAGGAGAGCTAAGTAGGCTTTTCTAGCAATACAACACCTAAGAATCTGTAATATTATCAGATTTCATAAGTGTATCATTATCTAGTTGTATTTTGTCGATGTCCCATTTAAATGATAACACTTTAGTTTTCTTAGAGTTGAAGACCATTTGATTGGCATCGCACCACCTTTTTATTTCAGTTAGATCTAAGGAGATCAATTGGCTGAGAATATTATCTTTAGTGTGCCATTCTATAGTTGTATCATCTGCAAATAAAGTGAACCTACCACTAAGTTCGTGAGATCCTTCACATATAGCAAAAATAATATGGGCCCCAAGACAGAACCTTGTAGAACTCCGCTGGTCAATTTTTTTCCCTCAGATACTGCACCCGAAACTTTCACATATTGTTCCCGGTCTTGAAAGTAAGATGTCATCCATTTACGGGATATGCCTCTGATGCCATAGTACTCAAGCTTCTGCAGCAGTACACAATCAAAAGCTTTGGATAAGTCACAGAACACCGCCGCGGTCGCGGCTGATTTAAGTATTGTTGGAAATGTTTCCGAGACAAACGATTCATTTATTATATCAGTAAGCGCGTCAATAGCTGCCGGGGGCAATTTTTCCAGCAACTCAAAAGTAGCTTGGTGTGCCTGTACCTGGACTAGATAAATTGTCGATAACATTCATCGGCCCTTTTCTACCTGACCTCATGCTGTTTGCTATTCTAGAACTTCTTAGAATAGGATTCCATATTTGGTTGAGGTTCACAGCTTCTAATTTTCTGTTGAAATTATCCGTGTGTTTGTGTATCCCTATTGCCTCCCGTACCAGTCGGCTATGGTATCCCTGGTTGGGGGGCATTGAGTTTCGTGTTTTCAAACATACTTCTATGGTTTCCTTCGCTGAGTCCGTGATCCGCCACAGCCGACTTGTCCGTTTAGCCTAGTCTGCAGTTTCTTTCATGCTCCTTCAGCCTTAACCATTTTGTCAAATTTAAAGAGTTAAAACTTGGCAAAAATTAGAGATACTTTGGTGATACAAATATTTGATCGTGTTATCTTAAAAAATAAGAAAATAAAATTCAAATCAAATGAATCCTATCTTACATTACACAATGTATCCTGCGACATAAAAGTTTATGGTGAGATTTACCTGTGTATAAAGTATATAGATTGTGTATCTAATGTAATAACTTGTAAGAATTGATTTAATTACTGTTTAATTTTTTTCGGAGGATGTAATTAAACGCTTGTTTTTAAAAACATTTCTTCTATTAATTCATTATTTCGTGGCATAGGACAAAATTGTTAAAATTTCATTGACAAAATTCTTCCATCAAATAATTACATTACACAATGTATTTTATGATATAAAAGTTTGTCGCGAGATTTACTTGTTTATAGAAGGAATACAATATGTAACTTGATCTTGACCTGAATACAAATATATTTTTTTATAAAATAGATGAATCTCGCTTTACAGCAAATAGATTGTGGAATGTATTAACGTGTAAGAATTGATTTAATCACAGTTTAATATTTTCGGAGGATGTAATTAAAAATTTGTTTTTAAAAATATTTTTTTCTATTGATTTATTATTTCGTGGCTTAGAACAAAATTGTAAAAGTTTCATTGAAAAAATTTTTATTGCACTTTTTGTTGTCTACTATTTTTCAATTGGGTTTTTTGGTTGATTGAGACCATTACATTGGTTAACTCATTGAATGATTTATAAATCTCCGTTGGAATTGATAAAAATTTCAGATTTGGACCGATAGCACTGTTAGTCCAATTGTAATATTGCATTTTTCACAGTATAAAATATGAGACACCGCCTCTTTTTTTTTAGCTAACACAAATCGTTCTAAGACTTCAAAGAGAACTTGCGCATGAATATTCCACGCGTACGATCGGAATCTGGATATTTATAATAAATTTTCCAAGTTATTGGAACGAATTAATCATTGTGTGCATGAGCGACCTGACGTTCAAGAGTTGAAGAATAAATACTACCTTCTCGCCTTGTATTCTGTATGAATCGAAATATGACTGATGTTTATAAAAATTGTACATTAAATAATTTCTTGTTATTATATTGAGATATACTTATATTCACATGTAACTTCGGGTAAGTAATAATAAATGTTACTTACTTGTTTTCTCAAACTATCACAATTGACCAGTTCTCCGTTGTGTGCCACTGCTAATGCGCCATGAGCTGTGTGCACAACGAATGGCTGACAATTCACCTCTTCAGATGCAGCACTGGTGGAATATCGAGTATGCCCAATACCTATACTTCCTTTCAATCGTCTGATTGCTTCATCATTGAATATATTACTAATCATTCCCATGCCTTTTACTACGTTGAAGGATTTGGAACAAGTTCCTTCACTTGTCACTATTCCAGCAGACTCTTGACCCCTGAAAATAAATGAATATTTTAATGACGTGGGCTCAAGACCGAAATCAACTTCAAAAACTTATGACTTTTTTTCATTTTGGTGATAATTGCTTTTTTGTCGTATAGGGCGCCGAAAAATCTTAACGCGTATTATCAGCGGCACTAATAGGTTACTGTCAATATTTTGTTAAATACGAATATTTTAAGGAAATGTCAGATAAGCCTTTATACTTATTTAAGCTTTCATTTTGGCATAACAATCATGTAAATGTTTAATTATTTTTTTTATCGAAAGATTGAAAAATTGTTGATGAAGCTAGTCATGTATGAATGAGTTTCGCTAAATCTGTTATATATCACTAACAACATATTATATTTATAACTAAAGGGCAAGATAGAAACAAACATCATGAAATTTTATCTAGTTATTGGAAAACTATATATCGGTTATTACAAGTAGGTACTATGCAACTAAACATATATACCTACTTATATATACGAGTACATGGTTACACAATACACAATGCTTACATGGGTGTAATGGTATTAAAATTTGATACGATTTTATTGCATAGCCTAAACGCTTGCAATTATTTTAAAATCAACTTGAATGACGATTGTCTGAAGAACAAATTGATTCGCAGTTTGTAAATATACTCTGTTTCAAAAATGAGATACGCTGTGTCAGAATTAGTCCTTGTAAATTTCCGATAATTCATATTATGCTCTATTTGCTAGTAGGTAATTGTTTTATATCATTTCTAAAACTCTTGTAATTTTTGTCTTTCATATTGATGGATAAATCAGTATACATTATTCACTACATTTAACATGCTCGTTTTTCAGTATTCAGTAAATAATTGGCTTGGGGTACTTGATCATTTAATTGGTTCATATTTTCATCCATACAGAAAATGTTCTTTTTGAAGAAATTCCTTTGCAGCTGAGACGACACTTCTGGTTCATGCATGATGGTGCACCAGCCTATTTTAGCATATAGCCAGTAGGTGAGGTACGGAACATTGGCCTACTCGACCATAAAAATGGCGTCTCATACGAAAAAAAGACAAGAGGTTTTATTTGTCATAAATTGAACGAGGAATCGAAAAATTCCTCTATAACTACCTCTCAGCCATTTACAGACAATTCACCAACTCGGAGCTAAAATTAATCAACCGGCAACAAAGGAATATAAAAATAATCTTAGGGAGAAATCATTACTTCTAAAAGAACATTCGTTATTTTTTGGCACTTATAAAAATGCTTCTAAATTTAAGTAACGTGTGATTCCTAACCTGTGTTGGAATCGCACGTTAAAAAGTAAGACCTCGCACAATTTTCGACTTCTGAAGGTTGTCGTTCGAAGGGGTGCGACAGCTGGTTAATGGAAAAACCTTTTTTTTTTAAACAGAGTTGATTTTACCTCGACTGATTTCTTATGCAGTACATTCGAAATTACAAGAGAGTTTTTTTTTGTATCAAGATGAAGTAGTAGAAAGCCAAAAACTTTCATTCCCAAAAATTAGTCTCTCCTAAAAATATAACCCTTTCAATTCATACAAGAGAGTAATTTTTGTATTGCTAAAATAGTTGGGTCAAACAAAGTAATGACAAATTCTTCTAATATTTGGGCCAGCATCAAGTCTTGGATCGACAACGTATAGCATTTGAAAATATCTACTGCAACTGTAGAGGAAACGCCACTCATAAAAGCCTGACCACGGCCAATAAACCAAAAAATAGCTATGACACTTTTTTATTTCGGAAAGCGGATCAGTCGTTCTTGAGTAATTAGCAATGTTATATTCGTTTCACGAATCTGAAAACAAACGATAAATAACCATAATTTTCATTATAATGAAGTCTGTTTACAAATTCATTTCTTGCATTAACGAATGTTTCTGGGGTAATTTCCTCAGGAGCATTTCTTATTCTATCTATGAGGGGCTTTGGAATAGACTGCGATTGTATAACGAATACTATAAATTTTAAGGTCATTATATGAGTTGATCTAGCCATGCTAAATGACCACGTTTGCCTATTAACCGGTTTGGATAATGGTAATATATCCAATTTTAGCCACCCTGTCGTAATGAAGAGAGGTACCTAATTCATTTTGCTGAAAAGTAACATCAATTAAAAACTAATTTGGGTTTATCAGTTATCCAAACTGGTAGATAGGCAAACGTGGTCTTAGAAGAGCCCACTAGATCACCTGATGATATGACCACCCTAGTTTTTTGTGAAGGGATACGTGACATCTGAAGTGTACGTGAGGGTGGATTTAGAGGGGTACCTAATGGAAGTAATTACCCTGCCCCCCCCCCAAATCAACATTTTGTGTATATATTGTAATATATACAGGCACATGCTTTCATATACAACACTGAGGTGCATAAAAAACGACCACTTGAGATGTTAACAAATTTTGATCTTGCATAATTTTTTCAGTTTTAGCTCGATTTTAATTTTTTTTAATGAATGAAAGGAAATTGTTACCAAATTAATTCACATCAAACAGATTTTCCAATAAAACTTGATTTATATATATACTATGATTTATATATACTAAACCATCTAGGTTTGAGGCATTAAGCTTTTGGATAACACTCAAAATTATCCTTTATGCAAGCTTGGTTCATTTTCCATACATTTTTCATTCATTGTGATATCTTATTAAGCATGTCTGGAACTATTTAGATAGACGTATCACTAAACTAAAATATTCAAAATGTATTTATTTCTCTTTATAGTTCATTCGAAACTGGGTAGCAGCATCAAATGCTCTACTCACACCACTGAAAATACTACAGAATAATGTTATGAAATGATTTTCAATTTAGATTGTAAGGAACCAACAATTAATTTATACAAACCAAAAAATATAATAGACGTATCAATGACATAAAAACTCCTTCGTAACTTTATTCATCTGGCAAAAAACAAATTGAAACACTAAAATTTGATTTTTAAAATCATTGTAATCAACATAACTAGGTTTTCAATATTAAAATAAATATTGCAAAACAATCGATTTTTTGGAGTGGTTTTAAATTTACAATATCCTTTGAAAAATGCCAGCAAAATGAATTTTAAAAAAAAATCTGATTTCCAAAAATACAAAAATGTTGAAGAGAAAATCAAAATATCTATCAAACAAGGTATCACAAGACACTCCCTTTCTATTTGAAAAAAATTGATAGCGCCGTCTCGGCGCTAAAAATAATACAATTTTACGTAAATTTTGTCCAACCTTGATATCTTGTTGCCAAGAAAGGGGACTTTTTACATTCACACTGTATTATTTTAAGATGGAGAGAGAGAGAGAGAGAGAGGTCAACAACCCAGTTGAAATGAAATGAATCATGTGGATGAAGAAATTGATAATAACTAATCAGATTCAAAAAACATTTTTCTAGTTACTTGTGATCGCACGTTGAAAGGAATGACTTAATACTAAAGGATTACATGAATCAGATTCGTATAATATACATTCTACAGAACAATATTCCGAAAGTTTGAAAGTTTCATCAGCTTTGATGTATGCCGCTATGATATTTGTTTGAAATATTAAACATCCGTCAAAACGTTTTTATATATCTGTCTGGAAAATATTACACAAATATTCATTATCTATAGCTATACTTCAGTATGAAGAAATAAATAACTTCATATTCACAAATCAAAGGTTAGTCGAGTGCTTTAAAATTTTCTATATACTGATGCAATAATCGTATGATGTGACAAATTAGATATTATTGACGGTTAAATTACTGTTGATAAAACGAGGGTATTCACAAATAGAGCACAGCAAATATGGGAAAACAAAAAAAATATTGTTATTTCTTTCTTTCAACAATAAAAGCATTTCAAGAACAAATGTTTCCAAGAATGTTTTCTAGTTTACCTACCTATCACATTTTGGTACTGAAAATAGAAAATAACATTAAACTGTTACGGATTGTCTACAAACTGAATGATACTTTCAAGTTTCTGAATGTGTTTTTATTCTATATTAACTTCATGTAACTTCATTATCTTACCAGATATTTTACGATAAATGAATTATTATACGGAATTGTCTACAGTGAATTTGGTTTAATGAGAATATGATTTTATCCTCGAAATATTACATTCAAGATTGTTGGCTTTGAGGTTTCAATATAGGATAAATAAAATACCATTTGTCTGACTTTTGGTTTAACAAACCGAAACTAGTTGGTAGGTAATTGTTTTATATCATTTCTAAAACTCTTGTAACTTTTGTCTTTCATATTGATGGATAAATCAGTATACATTATTCACTACATTTAACATAGGTTAATACTTTTCAAAGTTTTACGATGGTAGAACAATGCATATATACCTACCTACCTTAATGAAAAAAGTTTACGTATTATTCATCTGAGCTTTGTTGTCTTCTTTTAGTAGCTATTTATTTCAGATTTTTTGTTTGACATTTCGACTGTTTTTGTTATTAAACAACTAGTTGTATAATTATTATATCAAACAGTTGAACAGTAAACTAATGAACAGTTCTCAACAACTTTCTTGTGAAACATTCAAATATAATACACCACATTACTCTTTTAAGGTTACTGGTGATTTTCATTGCTGTTATAGAATGTTATAGACGAGTTCTATACCAACCTGTGTTGGAGGGCGACCAATCCCCAGCATATAATTTGTGATATTTCCAAATTTGTCGGCCATTCCCCGCAGCCTATAGCTCCAAAAACACCACATTCATGTGTAAGGCCTGATGAAACCTGTCCTCTACCTTTTCTTTTACTTATCCCAACACGTTCCAATGAACATGCCAAATCTTCCTCTTCATTTGTGTGGTCAAATTGACATATTTTTTCCGTAGACATATTTTTTTCTTGTTTGTTCTTCTTTTTTTTATTTTTAGTATATGAGATAATTCATAAACAATATTTAAAAGTGGCTTGACTTCTGATATTGAGTTTTCATTTATTTGTCTCTTCTCAAATTGCAATTGTCAGTTTCAGTTTTTTTTTTTATTGAAATAGGAATAATCTTATAGAAGTTATAGGAAGTTCTCAATTGAATTTTTTTTATATTTTTTCAGATTGTGGAAGGTGAAAATAGCCATAGAAGATCGATTAAAATATACCTATATTAACAGTTTTTAAAAAAGTTAAAACATTACTGCAAAAATATATTGAAGTATTAATTGTTTTGATGTGTGCGACAAATGAAATACAACGTAAAATTATTATGTAGGTAGCTAATTCTTACCTTTTGATTGAGAAAAATTATTATAATTATTTCGGTCACTGTGTTGTCAACCACGTTTATTTATGAAATTGAGATACGCAACATGTTTTCGCTTTTATAGTAACACGTGTTTTCTACCCCTACCATTTACTATTGATAAAATTGTTTGTATGAGCATCCCACTAGCGCACCAATTAATCAAACTTGCGCACTTTTGAAATGCTCTAATATTGCAATAAAAATAATATGTTTTCAAATTGTATAATCAGAATAAAGAAATGAATAACAGTTTCAAGTGTTTCAAAACCCATATCGAGTCCAGAGTTCATGGAACAATACGCATGCGTTAAGCTATATCATATAAGAAGACTCTCAAACAATCATCACAGAACACAATTTACTTATAGGTTACTTTACCGCTTTCAGTTTTTTATTTTATGTTTTTAGCGAATGCGTTCGTTAGGTAGAAGAAGCAAAAGTGGAAATTTATGTTAGGTTGAATTTTCTGTTATTAGGTTTTATTTTCATTTATCCCTTATATCTTTTGATAAAGAAGTGATTTGAATTGCTACATATTTTACTTCTAATATGGCTGGATTAAAAGAAGGTAAGCAAAGTGTTTATTTTAGAACCAAAACTTGTCTTTTAAAATTGGGCTAAAATGTACTTTATGGGATACTCACGGCTATTTTTTCTGGGATGATACTACCTGATGGTAGGAATTCAGAACACTTTTATTTTTTGTTGGACTCAATTTATAAACAGCCTGTAGTAGATTTATTCTTTATAAAAAACAACATGCGGCAAAATCCAACTTGTCCCAGATCAAAAGTAAAATTTTTAGTTGGGACAATGAAGGTAATTGCCATTGCCGTCGAATAAAAAAAACACTTGAATCATTTCATTTTTTATTTACAGAAAACAAGGTAATGATACTAGTTTTTTTACTTATGGTATTTTCAAAACATGGGACTATACAAAGTTGGGGCTTATTGGGGCAGGTTTTACATAAGAACTTGGTTTCGTTTTTTCACAATGCACAGTGCTGGGGTAGCTCACTGCTTATTTTTTGCTCAAGTGGCTGATCAATACGTCTCCGTTTCCCTTCTTGCACTAAACATGAAGGTACTGAATTTCTGCCATCTTTAGTTGTATTAGATATTCAAAGATAGTGTTTTATGACATCTTTCCGAAACTGGAGGAAACTTCGTTTCCTTCTGTGAATGTAACAGGCATTCCAAAGTGTTATGTCTGATAGATGAAATAGGTATCACTTTCTTGTATCATCTTATACTTTTTCGCGGGGAAGAATAATAGAATAGACAACTTTCAGTCCTGACCGACATTCTTGTGAGACAAGCCAGTATTAGAGTGAGTTATGGCAAGATTTTGAAAAACCAGTTATCAAATATAAAGCAGGTCATTGTATTGAGGAAATGTTCGTGTAAAGCTACATAGGGTTTCTCCAAGAATTAAACGCCTTTGATTTGTTAGGATTGATAGCTAATAAATCAAAGGCGACTTCTTCTACCACTTGGCATAGGAATATATCCAGAAGTAAGGTGAACAATATTCGGCACACTTTTTTAAAGTAAATTTCAGGCAAAAAACTTTCCTGAATGTTTTCCAATTTAATATATATAACATAGACTCTCTTTATCACTCGATACAGCCAATTCACAGTTTGTTTATGAAATATGTAACTCCTGTAGTACTCCTGTAGAATGTTGAATATGATATACTCTTCAAACTAGATCTTATGTAATAGCAAAAATCATAATATTTATTGGGATCGCATGTTGAATGTTAAGACTTGGTATTAGTTCCATGGTTTAGGAACACTAGCATAAATACTATCAGCTATTGATGTTGATTTCAAGACTGAGGCTTGAGTGATGTTTGACGATCGATTTTCACTTGCTATCGTCCAACCCGTGTTAGGAATCACACGTTAAAGGGTAAAACCTCGTTAATCCTTAGCTCTCACAAGTTTCGACTTTTGAGGGTTGTCGTTCGTAGAGGTGCGACAGCTCGTTAACGGAAAAACATATTTAAACAGATTTATTTCTTGAGGTTGTTTCCACAACATATATTAAAATTATGAATACTTGAGAGTTATACACTTGGATATCCATTTTTTGAAAATGTTAACTAGTTTTGTAATGTTTGTTTCTTTTTATACTCATCAAAAAGTAACTGATAGAATATCAACAGACACTCCCACCATTATATCAGGCATTTTGTATAATTTTTCTTTCATGAAGTTTATGCTCATTTATGTTCAGTTACTGGAGGGCATAACAAGGCATTTGCACCCATCATTTGACTTTCATACATTTACAGTGGGTTCTTGACACATACTTGTTATTTTATTGTTTTCTTGTTTGTTCTTCTTTTTTTTATTTTTAGTATATGAGATAATTCATAAACAATATTTAAAAGTGGCTTGACTTCTGATATTGAGTTTTCATTTATTTGTCTCTTCTCAAATTGCAATTGTCAGTTTCAGTTTTTTTTTTAATTGAAATAGGAATAATCTTATAGAAGTTATAGAGAAAATGATTAATTTTTCAACACATCAACGCCTTTTTATTTCCATCAAGGCTTCTTCGGAAACCTTGATGGAAATAAAATTCCATGAAACGGAATAATTTTTTCCTGAATATCTTTTCCGCCAATCATTCGACTCTCTTCGACTAATCGGTTAGTACAAAAAAATGGAAAGCGAAAAACTACTCTTCATGAATGATTTCAAGCAAGACCAACAAAATCCAAGTCTATGAAAACTCACCACTTAACCATGATCATTATTGTTTGACTTCAGATATGGTGGAAGAGTAACTAGACACCTAGTTTCTAAAAGTACTTAATAAATAAAAAAGTTTTTTTTTCTACTCCTTGTAACACAATGATTTGAATATATTATATGTTAACAATTTTCTTTTTTTTCAGTAGGAGGATACAAATTAGGTAACTTGATAATTGAGGGGAAAACCAAACAAGTGTTTGACATTCCTTCTATTCCTGGACATTGTATATTGTTAAGTAAAGATAGAATAACAGCCGGAGATGGAGTGAAAGCCCATGACCTTGCGGGAAAATCTATAATTTCCAACAAAACCACTTGTAAAGTTTTTGAAATATTGAACCAAGTTGGTAAGTTCCATAAAATCTATTGCAATTTTACGAGTTTACTGAAAGTGATTATTAGTTTATTCCAATCAAAAAAATTTTAAGACATTAATTGAATAAGAATTTTCAAGGGCGAATCAGTAGCCTCTAATGTTACTTGAATTATACAATCAAACATTCGCTTCATATTATAATTTACAAAACTTTTGGGGTGACTTCTCATACTTCTTCTCTCAAGTTGTGTCATATTCATCATATTTAGTAGGTTTATTTTAGTTTGTTACGTATGAAATTGTTCAAAACATTTGATCGAAATTACATTTTTTGTATACTTACAAAATTTCACTTCTAACCTGTTTTATTTTTTTTTTATTTTTTTTTTGATTAAGGTAAATTATTGAAATATATTTGCTATGAATATGTGCAATAATAGAGAAATACCAAAGACAATTCTTTATTCAAAATCAAGGTGGCAGGTTCTGATCAGTTCTTATCAGTTTTACCTATAAGTTTAAATGAATTTTTCAACTCTCATTATGAAGTGACGATAACTCTGTATGAGGAACCAAAAGGTCTACAGAAAATTCAGACCACAAATATGAACTATAAACAGAAACAAATTCAGTGATTCCTATTGTTATGAATTATTCACCTGAATTCTTGATTTTTTTATATCTATAGTATTCGGGAGTTATTTCATTGAATATATTTAGGTAAAATTTGCCAGAAGACTTGATTATCCTTCATTAGATTTCCTTCAATATTGATGGATTTCCAGATTCTAAGAACCTTATAACCAATGGAAATTTCAAGTTGATATGCCTTTCTGTTATTAATATTACAGGAGTCCGCACTTCTTTTGTGAAATCAGTGTCTGACAATGCATTCTTATCAAAGAAATGTGAAATGATTCCAATCGAATGGGTTACTCGGCGCTTAGCTACAGGATCTTTTTTAAAACGTCATCCAGGAGTAAAAGAAGGTTATCGTTTTTCTCCACCCAAGCATGAGACCTTCTTTAAAGATGATGCTAATCACGATCCCCAGTGGTCTGAAGAGCAAATAATATCAGCAGAGTTCAAGGTCAATGGAGTTGTTATTGGTATGATAAAACATATTTCAAATTATTTATCTCTAGAGGCAGGGGGCATTGAAATAGATATTTCAAAATAATCTAATGTAATAAAAAAAATATATAGAATTTCAAAATAGGAATTTTCCACTTTGAATCTTGTCCAGCATTGTATAAGCCGGGAAAGTAGTTGTTTCCCGGCAGGCATTTACCAGAACCTACGGTGTAGGTACGTTGGGGGAGATGAATGCTTCGAGATTTTATTTCAAAATATTTATTTTCTTATACGTATATATTATCTATTCTTGATACAGTCTTCAGACTTATTTTGATTTCTGTCAGAGTATTGGTACATGGAATTATTCTTCCCCCCTGGGGCTTTGTCCACAAAATGAAGCTGTAACTAGTTAACAATCTTCCTCTTAGACGAAAATTTCATACATACAGTCGAGCCACGTTGAAATTAATCAAGTCTCATACACACTGCTATTTGGGTCGAAGCTTTCATGCACTGATGAGAGGTAATACGTTGAAACCGGTCTGTAAGTGATCTACTCGATTGATTTCAGCATGGTCCTGCTAGATGAACGAGATTAACTTCTGTGAGGTATCTTGTATAAATGTCTGTCGGATATAATTCAATGTCCACCGTGATATTAGCCGGGGAAGTAGATGTTTTCCGGCAGCCACTTACCAGAGCCTACTGTGTAGGTACTTTGGAACAGATTAATGTTTAAGAGACTTCATTTTGAAACATTTATTTCCTTATAAATATATATCTCTCATCGGTAGAGTCTTCAGACTTATTTTGATATCTGACAAAACAATTTGTCAAGTCTAATAACATGATGTTCTCGCAGAACCATTTCTACTTTTTATCACGCGACATTTTCGCCCACTGACAGCTAACATTGATGCTATTTTAGGTTAAATTAACAAAAGTTGTTGTTGGCTGACATCATTATGACTTGTGGAATACCTGGTAATTTCACCAACCCCAATTAATAAAACTTTAAAATATCTGTTGATTTAGGCCACAATTTTCATATTTAAAACGTATGATCATGTCATTGCAGGAAAACATGAAGTAGATGTGATGACCAAAACGTCTATATTAGTATTCGAGGTATTAGAAAAAGTATGGCAAACAAGAGATTGTGCCCTAATTGACATGAAAATAGAATTTGGCGTAGATACCTCAGGTGAGTGAATTTCTGAAATTCATAAATGAGTAAATGACTTCATTATCTATATTAAATTGCGTAATTCGATCATTACACTAAAATTTTCAATTATTGAGAAATTCTTGTTTTATTTCAATCAAGTTTCATCATTTGTTTGTGTAAAGTTATTTACAAATATCTTATTGAATTTTTATTTATAGTTGCTTCTGACGTAATTCACTGGAAGAATTGAATTCTGTTGTAGTTCATAAGGTCACTGATTAGTGGTGTAGCAATCGTATTCTATATTAATGTGCAAAAATATAAATTGTAACACAATATTGTTTGTTATGATGTGGCACTTTTTCTATTTAATGAAAAGGAGCAAATGCAGACGGCAGCTCTTCGTCGGTTGGCACTATGTGTTCGTTTACAAACAAAAGTATATCATTGTACTGTAATTGACTGGTCAAAAAATAGGAGGGGCGCCACTGCAACTTTTAAAATGTCTATGTCAAAGAGTACTTACTTGGAAAGTTGAGCAACCGAGTAATGACTAAATAGTTGTTATACCCAAAACTATAAGAGACTTTACCATATGATGTTAGCAAATTGATGAGTGTTAATCAATAAATAAATAAAACATAGTAAAACATACAAACATTTAATATTAATGACTCTTCAATGGTTCAGAGCAAAAGTTCCCAGAAATAAGAGTTGTAATTCTAATAATAATATTCAATATTAGATACTTCGAGAGGTTAATTGATTAGGTAGAAGATATTTTAGGAAATTAATTTCCCAGTGCATGGTACTATGTGGTGGTTTACATATATTCGTTGAAAAACATATACTTTAACCTGAGTGTATCTAGATTGAATGTACATTAATAATTAAAAATTTAAATGGTAGGATTTTATCCTGTATAAAAAATATATAAGTAAAACCTGTTCCTCTGGCGACATCACTTTGAAAACTGAGTACTGAATCCCCGGCCACCCAGGACTGAAGTGATGAGTGGAGCGATATTACAATAGCTTTATTCTCTCTGAGTGCAATCAAATGTTCATCGGGCTGAACCATGGAGTGTACACTTCGGACAAGTGAGCCCTATTGGAACCATAATACCAAAAATATTCTTGAAATGTAGACGAGGGATTAAACCAAAGCTTGGGAGATAACCAACCAGAACAGAAACCGTGACAATTCCCTGGGTGAAAATCCTCCGTGTACAGCAACCCTATAAATGTTTTTTTTTGAATATTCATTAGAAAAAAAATTAATGAAAACGCAGTTGCTTCAGAAATTCCTTATTTACAAACTAGTAGGTATGGTAATTTTATCCCTTAGTATCTCTTCTTTGCTGAATAATCAATCGAATCAATCAAAACATACTTTCTTAGAAGATTTTTATCACATTAACAAAAGTCATACTTTGATGTGTGATTTCCAGTTGAAACTTTTTTCAAGTTAAAATCTCACATTAAAGTGTGTTTTTTGAATATGTTATACTGGGTTTTCATCGAGTATCGGTCACTTCTTTCATATTTTTTAACAAATCATGAAAACAATTAATATAAAATAGCCTCTAAGTAACATAAAATTGTGTGTGTGTATGTAGATCGTTAATTATGTTCAACTTTTAAATATGTTTTTAACGTTGAGTTTTTCAACATTTCAATCTAGGTGTAAGTTTTCTATTCTCATAATTTATTTTCACGTATTATCAGGATGATTATTTTATATTTGTTATATTAATTTATTCATCTTTTTATCAGTTTTTTCCTTAATTTGTTGATAATATGACTAGAAAAAAAACAAAATGTTTAGTTAAACACTGAAAGTTTGTCAAAAAAAGCTAATAAAAATCCATCCCGACTAATAGTAGGATTTATTGGTCATTTTCGAGTTTGATAATTACCAAGAAAACAACAACATTTGGTGACCTCAACGTGATCACGATATGGAGAAACGTACTATCAAACGAAAAAGTGCAGGCCTGAATCAAATTCTGTCGTCGGACTACATATGGCCAAATGGATATAGAAGTCGCGAGAAACCAGAATTCAATCTAGACAAAATACCTGAAAAAGTCTTTGAAGATAAGTCTGGCGAATCAACTTCCCTGATAAATGAGGTTCACTCGAAGCACTCTGTTCAGAAGAGAGCCTCAAGGGACACCGGATTGTCTGAACGACGTTGTTTGGTTTTAGAAAGAAAAATAATAGCTCTAGTAATACAAAGATAAAGACGGGAGCTACAAAGAAAATTCAGAGAGCTGGAACTGGAAGAACAACATCTGAAAGAAAACCATAGAGAGTTGAAAAAGGAAATAGCTGATAGTTTAAACCTTCTTCAACTCGAAGAACAATTATTCAAAGTTGAGATAGATACAAAAGAAAAAGGCAGCAGTTACGTTCAATCAGAAGCAAAGAGCGAAAATATCAGGAGAGAATTAGTTGAAGAACAAAAACGAAGAAACACAGTATCTTAATGGGTAGATTACACATCTGAACAATTTCATAATGATGTAAATGAAAATCTGTCACGTAATTCTTAAAAAACTGCGAAACCACTGACAACATGACCAAGTTCGAAGGACAACTTCTTGAATAGAAACCAGGCAATATCACATCACGAAATATACAACAGGAAAGAAAGGTTTTGGCTTTCTATTTCTCAGTCTTGATAAAAAATGTGGAAATCTTCCAAAGAAAGGAAAGAAGCCATGAATTTCAAAAAAGTAACTCTACAAAAAGGTGTAGATCATGCAAAGAAGTAATTTTCAGACACAAACTGGAAGAAAAAGCCCTCTCGGAACATTTACTTTCATATAAATATTGAATTCATGAACGAAAAATACTTTCGAAACAAATACTGACATGGCTGAAGAAGCTCTTGTAAAGAGTTCTTCTGTAAACTTGATATTTTGACAGCGCCCTCGTTGTACTTCTTGGGTCTTGTTTGTTTTGTAAAAAAATATCCATACCTGTTTCCAAGAAATAGTGGTCAATATTCGAATAATATGCATATTAACACCAGACAATGTAACGAACTAGCTATTCCCAGTCATAACTCAACATATCATGAGAAAGGAGCTTACTATCAGGCAATAAAAGCATATAGTTCTCTACCAAAGGAACATAAAAATATCACAGTCTTCAAGAAGTTTAGAAGTTCAGTCATTTCTTACTTGAGATTAAGGAATGAACTCGAGTTCTGTATAGATGAAATGTTTTACTCATAATGTGTCTTGAATTAGATACAAGGAGTCGGAATGAACTACAAAGCCTTCTTATCACATCGAATAGGTGAAATTCAAGAATTGACAGATATAGCAGAATGGCGATGGGTCCCAACTGAACTGAATATCGTGGATGAAGCTACTACATACAGAAAAAAATTCGACAAAGTAATTTCAAATTAATGGTTTTCTGGACCTAATTTTCTTAAAAAAATCAAAAGAATCATTTCCACTCTTACATTTGCATGAAAATGATGTTGAGCTGAGAAATCAGAAATTTTAAACATGTTTTGTCATTTTCCACAAATATGAAGTCCTCTCAGATACAATGATTCTCGAAGTGGAAGAGACTATTCAAGACCACTGGATGATGTCTGAGATTTTTGAAACGGTAAGGAATAAAAAAAGATTTCCTCCAAACCTAACAGTAGAGGAAATCCTAGAAGCTGAGAAGATATAGCTGAAACATGTTCAACTGAAGTGTTTTCCAGAAAAAATTCAAGACTGGAAAATCTCTGAGTGGTCAAAGCAAACTAGACTGTATATTTCCAGCCATGAAAGATGGAATCATGGTACTGTGTGGACGAACGAATTTTACAGAATTTATGTCTGAGAGCACACGACATTCCATCATTCTGAGTCCTGTGTCACATGTGTGTACTATCTCCGAATAGATCGATTTTTAAGAGGTTTTAATACATCTTACAAACGCAAATTGTATATCGAAATACTCGTGAAAATTGTGTATGAATGATCAGTTGAATTGATCCATCAAAGAAATTAATTTGAAGTGAACAATAAACAACGATTCATCCACTTCTATAAAAAATGTGTACTAACAAAAACTTATCAGCCAAAAAAGAGTTTATATTTAAACTGGTTAATAAAAAGTAACAGGTTAGGACTCCTAAAATATCAGCTACATATTTCACCATGAAGTGTCCAAGTGACTTGGCACATTTGATTCCACCAAGAGCGGTACATATCAGAAGTAAGCGATGGACTGTGGCTGCTCATCGTTTTGAGGTTCAACTCAGTACACCTCAAACATTACTGTTTAAGAACATGCACCACTCTGAGAGCGCCTGTAGTGCTTGTGTTTTGTCTTTAAAAAAACATAATAAATGCCTCCGAAAATAGTCGCCAGGTTGATTCTATTTACACAGATTTTTCAAAGGCATTTGACCGAGTAAATCATAGTTTGTTGTTGCATAAACTAAACACTTTGGGTATTCAGGAAAACATTCTGAAATGGATTGAAAATTATCTTGCCTGTAGAGTCCAATATGTAAAATATGGTAACTCAATATCTTCCTCAATCACAGTTCACCTGGTGTACCACGGGGATCTCATTTGGGACCAGTACTTTTCAACCTATTTGTAAACGACTTGAATGATGTTATTCTCTTTAGAGAATTTCTTCTATTTGCTGATGATCTGAAGATGTACAAAGTTATTCATGAGCCATATGATACTGAATTATTACAGTTTGATTTATCTAACTTTGTATGCTGGTGTGATATAAACTTCGGAACTGGAAGTAACAAATACAATCAAAGACTGAATAGAACTGGCTGATACTTGATGAAAATCCATATTAAAACTCATTAATACAGTTCATTGTATGATTCTCACTATATATTTTTTTTTATTTTACACTTGAGAAAGCTATTGTATAGGGAAACACGTGTCGTGGTTTTTGTAAAACCCTTTATAGTGAAAATCATACAATAAACTATATTAATGAGTTACTATCAGAGATTTATGGGTCAACCTTGACCCAAAAATGCCATTC